TTCTGGGAACTATCTACTTTTACTTATCAAAAGTGTGTCGATGTATATACGTACGATATAAAACTTAACTGCGTATTATTTTTGTTTCACGTATTATATTATGTTATGTAGCTGTAGTTTGACATAACACTTTTTTATTGAAGTATACAATCAATAAATTATCGACTTATAATCGTTCTGTAATCGGATGTGCTCCCACCTACAGATAATCTTCTTCATTCTCTTAGCCTTGGTCAACTACAAAATGTTTTAAAATATAATGTATATAACATTATCATATATTTATTATATTACCCGCTGCGCCCCGCACATGTGGTATTAAAACCACTATTATAATTAACAAACATTATATAAATGTAACAGTGACGATTAATCACGCATGTATAAAAATCACTAATTTTTTTCTTCTTTCACCTGAAATATTACTAAAAATGTTTATTTATCGCGTATATTAACATTTTAGAAAAGTGGAATACGCTTAATGATTGTGTTTGAATTTGCATCTCATGGTCAACGTGTTTATGAAAACTACTTATGAGTTATGATAATCCATACGTGTTTGTAGGTCAATTAAAAAGTTATCAACAAATAATCACATATAGTTGACACAATATTGTCGTAACATGATAGAAGAAAGAAATAAAATGAAGCATTTATTCAAAAGCATTAAATGCTCACCCTGTTTTAAAAATTAATTATTAGTTTATAAATAATATTATTTTAATACAAGTTAATATTATTTCTGATTGAACCTAACCGGAGTTTACGTCTTTCTTCGACACGTAACTAATCGGTAAAGTCGTCTGTCGTGTCATATGCTTTTTTTATCTTACTCTGATCGGCCGTTAAAATATTTATTAACCAGGTTCTAGATTAGGTTAGGTTAGGTTAGGACCTAGCTAAAGAAGAATCTACTAATTATACCTACCATAATGGTTAAAACTTAAATGGAGTTGCAGTTATTGGTTTATGATATGATATAGAAAACAATTTTATAAACTCACTAGTTACTATATATGTGTCAGTTTTAAACTTAAATATTTTTTATTTTTTTTTTTATTGTTTTTGCAATCACTATGATTAAAATTTTTTCATATCATGTTTTGGTGATTGGCGAAAACTAAGAATACTTTAATTATTACAAGTAGCCACTCTGATAACTACACTATTATATAGTGTATTCTTCGATCGCACTTGAACTTACACATATTTTTATATTCTCTACTATACATGAGTCTGTGGAATATAATAACATAATGGCTGATCAATATCCGGTATCTATGTATATAATATAATTTACGATTTCTAGTAATATGTAAGAATAGAGCGTGTACGTAATATATATATATATATATATGATTAATGTATATTATTTATAGGTATATATTACTTACACATTCTAGTTTACTGCCTTGAGCCTTCTCATGTATATTTACACGAATATAAGTATGTATATTGTATATATATAAGGATTTAATTATATAATAAATTAACTTACCCTAATTCAACGGCATATTTACCATATATTAGGTGAACGGAGGAAAAAGAAATAATTTTAATATTGATTTATTTATGATTTGATATTAATCAAGAACAACACTCGGAGGCATACACAGGAAGATTGCTGTTATTGAGATCGCGCCCATGGTCGATAGATCTCGTCCAAATTGATAGAACATTTTTTTTTAAAAAGGCATAACAATAAATAATCACAGATGTCTACATTATAATATAGAATATGATATATATATATATAGTTAAGATTTTAATGGCGACACTCTTTTTAATATTAATTATATAGAGTGGCTATCATTACAGATTGATTAAACTTTGAAAGTGTTCAAATAAAAGGAGTTTAATCATTTTTTATCATTTTGAATAATATCTTAAAATTTGAATACTATACCAAATATTTAAGAAAAAAATATAGTACTCAAGAATGCATTCTGTAAAGATTTTTCTTTCGTTTTTGTGTAAATAGGTACTATACTTTACTTCGGAAAAATATGATATACATTTATTAAAATATTTGTTTTGATAAATTAAAACCCACTGGTCATCATTTACTAATACCTACAATTAGATTACATTTAATAGAGAACCACGATAAACTTCAATTATAGTTTGTCGTGTAGGATTTCATTATTGGAAATTTTAGATAATTAGATTTAGATCATTAGTAAACTGCATCGGCATATTTTATTGATGTTCCAGAAATTTGTTTTTTGTAAAGTTTAAGGAAAAGTATTAATATAAATGTACTACTGAAATAATTATTTTTATTTAATTAAAAAAAAAAAAAAAAAAAATGTATTAGAAATAAAAAAAATATATTCGAAAAGTATTAAAATTCTTTTGCAATCTCTATTTGAAATACGAGTTTATATTCTGGATACTTTTTCATTTATTAATTCAAATACGTATTTTGAAAATAAAAGTTTATTTACATTATTTTCAAAATCGTTTTCTACGTCAATTTTCTCTACAAAATGATAACAGGTGTATAGCTCATACCCAGAAACACTAAAACATGTAATATTAAATTATATATAAATTATATAATGCACACATACCTTTACGGTTAAACCTATAAGTAGCTAAGTAGGTAGTATTCTTACTTGTTTATAGTTATTAACATAATATTGACACTTTATTAATGAAGAACTTTTTCTCGCAGCACGGTGCACTTGCAACTTCTTGGTATTATATTATGTTTCTGGTATATATCATATATGATTTTGCAATAATTGCTATAAGTTCTGAACTCAGCTATAACACATTTTAGCATTTTACCCGGAAACGCAACAGGTTTGGGCACTTTTTTGTTTAGATGCCATAACACGTCTGGGCATTATACAGTTTATTATAAATATATATTAAAATGTGCTAGTTTTAAAGGTATCTTTTTATGCAAGCTATGTATAAGTTTACGAGTTAGAAATAATATGCAATGAACGTTAATTAAAATTAAAAAGCGTTAATGCTTGTAATAATGAAGTCATAAGCACGTCATGCAGACTCAACCGGGGTGCGTACAAGCTTTAACAATGTAAACCATATTATATATGATGAAGCACAAAACTCAAAATTCAAAAATTGACATTAAATAATATTAATTCTAATATTATAATTTGCTAAACATGGCTATTTACTTTTAAAAAAAGCTGTATATACTTCTTTCATTTTTAAGTTCAAACGTGCTATAATTTTATCAAGGAAATCGAGTGCTCAAACGTTATGTGGGTTTTGAATACCAAATAGGCAAAATTCGTTCTGTAATTCCTGTTTAAGATAATATTATTCTATACTGTATTTGAATATTTTTAAATAAAAATTCTAACTTTTAGATAGTTGTACTTAAAGTTTTATTAAGTTGTAACTTAGAAAAAACATTAACATTCGTTGCAAGGAACATAGTTTTAAAATAAAGTGAATAGGACACTATGACAAAAAAATAAAGTAAATTATCAACTAATATGAATTTTTAAAACCTTTATAATAATTTCCACTAACTCAGTATTATTTTTTATAATTAAAGTACCTGAATTCGTATCTTAGAATAACAAAGGACCAATAAAATTCTAGTAGTTTGGCTGTTATAACATTTTTTCAAATACATGTAATGACTAAATATGTCTTCATGATTATTACACAATTGAACCCACTAAAAGTTAATGGAATTATGCCAGTATAGTTATATGTTTATATAACGCATATATTTTTTTATGATAATTTATTCTACTTAAAATCTATGTACATTTTTAAATTATTATTAACTATTAAGTTTTCACCATACTATTGTAATCGAATACTTTCTTTCATATTATTAATTATTATAACTGATAAAATTGTGTACAAATTACACATTGAAAGTATATATATATATATATATATAAAAAAACAATAAATAATTATTGTATAATTATAGTAAAATATAATAATAGCCAATATTTGGTTAATATTGAAAGTGTGTAAAATAAAAACAATAAGCCAATATTTTAGGCGTGATAAAATTATTTAATTGGGACTTAAGACACCTTAGATTTTTATCGGAGCGCTGAATGTATTGAATTTAAAATAACGTGTATTTTTTGTACCTGCTATACTGTTTTAGATTGAAAAAATATTTAAATGTTAAGTTTTGAGGGTAATTTATGGTAGGAATTTGAATCTTGTTCACAAGTTTTGAAGTAATTTTTCAAAATCACAAAAATTATTTTATTTTATTACTTCAGGGCTGAGAACTTGATTAAAGTTTGAGGTAAGTTTTTCTTACACTAATTTTCTTTTGATGAATGTTAAAATTCAAACGTAGACAAAATTAGACGTTTAAACAAATTAATAATGTTTTCTCAAAGAATTTCAGTTATTTAGTTGTATAATTAAAAAAAAACTTGAAACATTCCACATAACTTTTATCATTACTTCTTTTTTACGCGTAGTATACACAATGCAATCGTTTAAATATGTAGACTTGATAGACATTTGAAATTGTTGACATTTTATGTATAATATACCTATAATGTGCGATCAAATTGTTTTTGTTTATTTTAAAAGTTAGAAGATGTAATAAGACATGTTTACTCATTGTTCCTGTATATTATTCTAAATATAAAGACATAATCAGTTACTGCATGTGTTTAATTGCACTGCAGCGTATACTTGGCATATTATTTAAATTATTTAATTCTATTTTATTGTTTAATGCCCATTTCGTATTCACGAATACGGGCGGTATGCGGTCATTTCGCTCGAGACGTGTGACATATTTCGTTTTAATTTTGTCACTGATTAATCGCTCACACATTTAATAGAACATATATTATTATTATATTATTCATTATAATATTCGCGTTCCGGCTTGACCGTGAATTTGACACGAAACTTAAAAGACGCGTGCCGATAAAAAAAAAAAGATAAACGCCGACTGCCGAGTACGCACGCGTACACAATAATATAATATTATATTTTAGTATTTTGTGTTATTGTTAAGAGAGAAAAATCGATCGCATTTTCACACGCGTCCCCGCGAGTATACGTATGGCGTGTATATTATAAATACAAACGGGCGGACGACGGCAATCGAGTCGCAGAAACCGCCAGCAAAGTATACAACGTCTTCTTGCCGCCGGTCGTACGTCGCATTGACATAAAATTAAAATTTACGCGATTTTTGTTTCCATTTCCGAGACACGACGATGGCAAATAACCTGAACAGTCCGCGGAGCCGCCGAGAAATCTTTTCGCTGCTGGCCGTCACGATAGCTGCGACCGTGCTCGTTCATCAGCCCGCAAATGTCCGCTGCGCCGACAGCGGAATTGTATCTCATCAACAGCAGCCGCATCAGGCGTCGATGTTCACCGCGCCGTCGGGCTACTACGTGTCCACGTACGATCACATAAACGTCGGCCAATTGCTGCGAAACAACAAGTTGGTTTCGGGCTACGTCAAATGTTTCGTCAACGAGGCACCTTGCACGCCGGACGGCAAATTAGTCAAAGGTACGATATGAAACGAGGGTGGTCGTGCGACAGTGTACAACGAGTAGGAATTGGGACTCTTTGCACTAAAAATCTTTAAAATATGCTATTTATAAAATGTGCAACTATAAAATTGTTTGCACACGAAAAAACAAATATCATAAATATAATCGTAATATTATATTGATTCATCAATATTATTTATGACCAATATTATTATTGTATAATACGTCATATGAAAATGTCGAATCGTCAAAAATAATTTTTAATAGTAATCGCAGATAACTAACACGAATACAATAATTATTGCTTAATATAACCCAACTCAGATAGGTGTTGATGATTAATATGATCGTTATTATTGATAATGTTGGCAAAACACAACGATGAAGTAATAAAACAAGAAAAATATGTAGGTACCTACCTAATTCTAGGTATTTTGTGGTTTTTAGATGTAGGTACACGAAACCGAGTATCTAACTCGTATAAGAAATAGCGACTACCGTAATATACGTACGTACACTAGGGATCTGATCTTTATAATTTATTCTTTGCATAATAAAACATTTGCTTATAAGTCATTACATTTTTAATTGTTCGATTGCCAATAGTGTGTAATAGTAGTTGAAAAATCATGCTCATCTACTTATTATTTAATAATAAATTTATTGAAATTTTGATTTTTGGAATATTTATACATACTTAAAGATCACTTTTTCAAAAATTTCGATTTTTCAATGACTTTAAAGCATAAAAAATAAAATGAATATTTTATTTTCAAAAATTTTAAAAGTTTTTGAAATTGCAGATATTTTATTTACAAAGATATTACACTATAATTTACTATTATATAAAACTATAATATTTATTTATTATAAAATTAATTAATTAATATGCAGCGTTACCATAAATCCATCTTGAATTTTTGACAAAAATATACTATAATATATTCTATTTTATTAAAGTTTAGTCTACTAGTTGACCAATGAATGGTGGTTGTGATCGAATATCTTTCCCTTCTAAATTTTACTGACTACGCCGATTTCAATCGTATTTCTACACCACAAGGCATTCAACTTATAGATAAACGTGGAACACGTACGTTTATGGAAGGAGATGCACTGGCTCAAATAGTTTTTGTCAATCGATAGGAATAAACTAAATGCGAATAAAGTGTATAAATATGCAGACAAAAATTCTAGTAGACACGTTCTCGTTTAAAATAAAAGATTATTTTATCGTCAAATGACAAACCAATAAAAATTAAACGAAAATATATGTAGATGATATGTTCAAAATCAAGGAAAATATAATAAATTTTAAAAATATAATAAATGGATGCTATTAGAAATACTTAATTCACAGATTCAATGAAAATAAACATTTTGAATAAAATGATCAATCATGCATCGTTTAAAATTATAATAGGTCTTAACTTTTATAGCAATTTTATAATTAGCGTAACTGCAGTTGTGGTTTGTGTCTACGTATATTAATTTATCGATTTCTAACCATTTTAATAGAGATTTATTGGTGTTAATACTAAAAAAAATGTATATGTCTTGATAAAGTTAAATCGTTTTTCAATTTCGATAATAAATACGAGTAATAATATGAAATTAAAATATTTTAACAAAGTTTAATATCTCACATTCTTACGTGAATGACTGTATACAGTTGTACTTATGACGCACTGATGTTTACTATATAGAGATAATAATATTTAAAGAATTATTCATAGCATAATTTGATGTAATTCTGTTTTATTTATTGTTCCTAATTTTTAAAACGTAAGTGGTCAATTTTTTTTTTTTTTTTTTTGTAAACTTGTGAACAAACATGTATCGACCTTTAAATAGTTGTCGATATTGAAGAAAAGGTCAAACGCGATTATTCAATGTGAGTTAATACACGAAAATATATTATTAACTATGTATTATAGACGTACCAATTAGTTATAATTACTATGAAGAAAAAGGATGAAACTTCTATACTTACACGCATTGTTGTAGGTAGGTAATATGATGTTGGTTGTGACTTGTGAGTTTGTGATTAATATTGTAGTACTAGCCGAGATAAATTTTTTTGAGCCAATTTATTATGATAAAATATTATAAAATTTAAGCATTCAATCAATTATTATTGTTATGTTTCGTCATTGATCATCGAACGAGGATATCAATTTTTAACTGCAGCTGCGTACGTCTAAAGATAATACACATACCCAATAATAATAATAATTATTATAATATTATTATGGGAATATTACAAAAACAATAACAAAAAAGTTTGTAAACAATTACCGATCGAATGCAGTTATTCCGTCAAGGTCATAGACTTGTGTTTTGCTATTTTTCCGTCGTAAACACACACACACACATTTTTACGTTATAGTATATTATAGTCACAAATAGACCTATATTTTGGGGGGTGCTAAAAACCTCTAAAAACTTCTCTATGGTTACGTTTATATGAAAAAAAAGTATCTGTTGTCTAACCTAATCTTTAAGCGTAGTATATATTACGGACATTTTAGTCCCTTTATTCCTTCTAAATTAACCTATTACTTCCTCGATTCGTTCTATTGCTCTCCCACAGGCCACATTTATGTTATAAACAAAAATGAATTACTAGACTTGTAGTCTCTGCAATATTTCCATACTTCACACATAATAATAGTATGTATGTACGCTGTTCGGTGTCCGGTTAGTTGCCGAACTGCGCAGAATTTCAATTTGCGAATTTAAATCCACATGCATATATTTATACGACCGTTGTTTTTGATTTACAGCCTACTTGTTGCCCGAAATCATACGCACTGTGTGTGGAAAGTGCACGCCAAAGCAAAAAGACATGGCCCGAATGGTGCTGAGACACATTTACACGAACAGGCAAGCGGATTTCGAGAAAATCATGCAGATTTACGATACGGATGGCAAGAGAAACGATATCCTAGCTTTCATGAACCAATAGTTCACGCTCGGCAGCTTTATTATATCACTGTAAAACATTAAGTTATGATATATGACATATGTAATAGTGTACCGCGTTTACCTTATTACCATTATTTACTACATCCTCCAACACCAACGTCTGCCACGATACTACCAACAATGATATCATATTATAATAACTACTATCGATTTTTTCCCAACGAATCGGAAAGTCTACTCTTGTAGTTTTTCTTTAATCCTCCCACTCTTCTCTGATTGGCCATGGTTATTAATCAGGAATACATTTAATTTAATATACTTTTATACTTTATAATATAGATAAACATCTGTAATATTATATACCTATATATTATGATAATTAACTATAGTCTATAATATTAATATACGCATATATTTACTCAAATACAATCGATTGTTTATGATTTAATTTTGTGTCGTGAAATTTATTTTCTCATATCATCGAACCGTATATAAGGAGTATATAAATTTAGCAGTTTATAAAAAGCAACTATTCATCAAAAAAATACTCATAAATCAATTTATTAGACAAATCCACAGTCAATCAAAAATAGAGTTGTGGTTCAATAATATATTTTTACATATTTTAGGTTTTTCAAAATTCCCCGTTAAGTGTTTATATCCAATGAATAATAATTTAAGACCTCTCCCGATATTAATTTATTATATAGGTATAAAACATATATAGTGGACTGTCGACGAGATTGGGTTTTATAATCAGATATGTATTTCAAGACCTAACTGATTTTTCTATTTTAAATTAATCACTTCAATAAATGAATAAATATTTATTTTCATACAAATGTTATTGTAACCTATAATATTAATTTTAAAAAATATTTTTTTAACGTTTAATTTAACTTAAATGTAATAAATAGAAACCTTACTCAAAAGTATATGATTTCATACATTTTTATTTTTGTCGTTGATAAAAAGTGTAATTGACGAATGGTTTTTGATAAGGTGTTTTTAACCAACTACCTTATCCTAGAATCATACCTGTTGAGTGTAATTGCGAGCAAAATACCTGAAACATTAAAATTTAAAATGTTAGATATTTATGATATATCTTGCATGTTAAAACGAAGAAAAATATGTGAATGATTGTGCGTTTTATTGGTTTGTATATTATTACAATTAATAGCTTAAAGTACCTACCATCTGGCTAAAATGTATATAAACGACTAAACTTTAGTATAGGTGGTTTATCTGAAAATAAAAATATCAAATAATATAATATATTATATTTTATGTATTAAAAGTTAAATTATACTTCGTATGATCGTATACGATTACACGACTAAGGTTCAATATTAGTATAAGTTTATTAAATCGAAGTTGTATGAATAGATTCCTCAAGTATCGGATGGTAATTAAAATTTATTTTTTAAAATTCTATAGGTTGGTATAGGGTGATTCACCGCTCACGTATGAATTGTGTTTAAGCAAATAAAAATTGAACATTTTTTTTTTATTGATATTATGCATAAATGGTTTCATTGGTAAAAGGAAAAAAACGGTTTAGAATAGTTACTAATAAATATGTTGCTATAGGATCTTTTTTTTTTAAATAAAGAAAATAATATTTGATTCGTTGTTTGTTATTCAAATAGACAATAAAAGGCAATTTTTGTACGTTTGTAATTTATAATTGTGAACTCAAAAACTACTTGACAAATTTTGACGAAAGTTCAGCGATATTTCTGAGTTATATCAAAAATATTAAAATAGTAGTTTAAAACATATTTAAAACATACTTTGATACATATTCAAGCAAGTAACAGGTGGATTACTCATCCCGATCGAATTAATTCACAAAGCTAAGTAGACCGATTTCACGTTGTATTTTATATTCATTAATTTTTTCCAGCCAAATTTGGTTTAAACAATTGGTATTTTTAGTTTTTATTTGGGGGGAGGGAGAGCTGAAGCTCAAGACACACTAATCTCCTTCCGTGCTTTTCTGTTAATACAAAACTCCTAAACAAATGCTTTAAATATGTAATACATCAGTTAAAAGATTTAGCACAAGCGCTCTACTATTTGCACTAATGCAAATAATATTAAATAATACTAGATCTAGATTCTTTACAATTAATGAATAGTATAAATCATAAAAAAGTATAAAATAAGAATAAATAAGATTATACTAACACGTGCACAGAATTCATTACAATTAGTAGGTACGCGTTTTTTTTTTGTGTGGTCGTAATATAATATCAATACTGTTTGAAATTTATGTGATTCGTTCAAAATTATATTTATATTATACTAACACGTGCACAGAATTCATTACAATTAGTAGGTACGCGTTTTTTTTTTGTGTGATCGTAATATAATATCAATACTGTTTGAAATTTATGTGATTCGTTCAAAATTATATTTGCTATTTAAATGAGCTGCAATAATATTAATATCATATTCTAATATACATGACACCTAACTGAATAAGTTGACATTTGATTCGTTCTCTATAAATTTCTATGATGTACAATTTAATGTAAATGTTAAATATTCTTTATTTAAAATAGCTTGATCGTTTGAAAGACTAAACAACATGATATTTGTATTCGAACGAAAGAAAAAAATCAGATACAAGTTGGTATCTACATTTTGGAATATTGTTGTCCTTTTGCAAACAATATTTATTATACCTATACTGCAGCTCCAACACATACTATAGGCATAAATAATTATGCAGGTAACCTTAACACGATTTTACAAATTTTTGACGATTTTATGTTTTTTAACTTAACAGTGTTGTATTTTGAACATATAAATCCTCATACACAGAATTTAGTATAAAATGTCTTACAATTTTTTCCCGGAAATGTAATCGAGTTTTAACTTTTAAATAATATGCACCTATAACAAGAGTTGATGTAAAACGAAGTTTTTCTGCATTCAAACACATTCTTATAAACTGTCGTGATAATTTAACTCAGATTAATAAAGAACATATTATTGCTTATTGTTTTTTTCAATAACATTTAAATTGTTTATTTTTTTATCACATTCATAATATAATATGTTGTATATTATAATATTATAGTTTTTTTTTTCATCATAAATGTTTTGATTATATAATTTTACAAAAAATAAATAACTGTAATTAAAATTTATTTTTAATATTTTGTGCTTTTTAAGTGCATACTTTAAAATTTTAAATGCGTATAAATTTGGTCATTAATTTTAAGCTTTATAGAATAAAAATGTTTAATAATAACGATTTAAAAATATTATGTTTATGATATTTTCATAAGATTTAAAACCATACTGTGTAATATGATTAACCTTGAACTTGTTTATTATTTATTTGAAATTAAAATTACAAATTTTATAAAATGAAAACAGGAATAATACGCTATTACTTTGTTTAAAAAAAAAAAAAAAAAAGATTGAAAACAAAATAAAATAATAATACTCCACCTTGCACTTACAATTACGTATGTATCAAAATAAATTACAGTCAACAATTTAACCAACCCATCCCACTATTTGAAAAAGTTTTCATGAATATCGGTGCGATTTTAAAATTTGATTTTGTACAGCTGTCGTAAAGTTGTTGAGAATAATTGAGATCATTAATTTAAAAATTCGATCAAAATAACCGAGCAAATAGAAAAACAAGCTATTTGATTGCTTTTCAATCGCATTGCGGTGTCGGTTTCCATTTGAAAGTTTAAAAATATCAATAGGATTTTACACAACATCTAACAACATAATTAATATTAATAATAATAACTACTCATTATTGTGTTGTATCGACGAATAGTTTCCTCGTACTAGTTAGAATTCTAAATATAAATAAATACAATCGATTATAAGAATAGTGAGTATTCTGTATGCAATAGGAAATAAAAATATACGTTTGCTCATGGTCAAAAGAGATGAAAGCGTGCAAACGTTTAATACAACTTAATAACTATAGAAGAAAATACAGTGTACTGTGCACAGTCATTAATTCACACACCCGCACAGGTTAGTAGTCTTAATAATAATACTTCATTATACTTATTATTAATAATAATGGTATAAGATTAAACGACTTACTCTATGGTTACACTTGTTTACGTTTTCAGATCGTTACACGTCTAAGGAACTCCGGCTGATTAGGAAACGTAAATTGTCAAAAATGCTGTTTCAATAATCTTAAATTTATTTTACGATTTGGCCGTAGACCTTAACTTTAAAATAATATTTCCGCTTTGGATATGTACAGCCATAAACCTAGGCCGTAGGCGTCATTCTAAAAATATTAAAAATCCTGAATCACAATAGTGTATAAACATATTAAAGACGTTAATCTAGAGATAGGCGTTTTTCTTTTAATATTATCATATTGCAACAGACAACAGTAGGTAAATGTTTTCGAATTGGCTGATATCAAATCGTGAATAAGTTCATTTTAATTTTGATGTCACTAGAGTAATGAAATCAGGTTCATAATGCGTTTCGAATTCTATATCATGTTGTATATTAATTAAAATCGTATTTTATTAATCAAGTGAGCTTCTTCTCGGAAAAGATCTCAAAACTAACGATAATTATGTGTTTAAATTATATTATGTACCTGTTTAATTCTTAGGTGAACTAATAATGGGCATTCAATGTACAAAACTCCCGATCCCGTTTTCGATTTTAAATAATATATAATCATATATTATTATAATAAATAGGTTGGTAATAATATGATAATTCGTTGTGGGAAATTTAATAACTAAATTATCATGCGGCAGTATTATATAATATTGATATTTTTGTTATTTAGATCGCGGATTATTATATAAATAGATATTTTACGGAGTGTCGGTTTTCCATTCGATAACAATAAATGCGCAGTATCAGGCATTTTCACGACAGTCCATTTAACGAAAATAAAATAATGTAATATTTTAATTCCGGAACCGCCGCAGTATTGGATTTCATCGGAAGAAAAATACGTCTTTTACGGTTATACGGTTTGATGTTTTAAATCGATTTGATTTTGATTTCTACTCCGAAAATACAATATATCTATGTACGTTACGTATTATTATATTATTATGCACACAATCAACTCGATACAATAGTTTATGTGGTCTATTGTCACAGCATGATTATATAAATACTATTGGATTCCCGATTAAATGAGTTCGATCTGAAAAAAATCGTTATATATTATTTAATATCGTTAACTCGCTCTTAAAAAAAATTACTCCTGTGAAATTATACGCTATAAAAGTGTTTTCAATTTCGATCGTCTTAAGAATAGGTAGTATAGTATAAGAGTTTTTATTACCTACCCAAGAATGTAGTAAACAAGCCATTGAATTATCCATCAACCATGCTAGTTATTCATAACTTGTTTTTTTGGAATTTTTAAATATACTTGTTTTTTAAGACTATATTTTAAAATTCTTATGATTA